TAAAACAGGTTTAATCAATTTTTAACGCTAATACATGAAAAATAAGTCTTCTTATTCAAGAGCTTTTTTCAAAGTTGAATAGTATCAGTATTATTCACGAATCCAGCTATTTAATTGATAGAGAAGGGATACTTTATGTAATAGGATATTATTTTCATATGCTAACCAAATATCAAAAACGTATTTATTATTATTAAAACTACGTATTTTTGAAAATACGATAGGTTTCAAATAATTTTATTGTGAATCGACTAATATACGTATCATATGAAAGAAAATGATTTTTGATTATCCAGTGATTATAAACGAATGTTTCTTCGATTCATTTTGGCAAAACTAATTGTGAATGGTATAGGAACCAATAGACTATTTTGATAAACCTCATGCTAACTTCGACATTATGTGATCTGCCACTTTGTTCACCCACCATCCCTTTTTACTTTATAAAAGTCAGAATTTGACTAACTAAAAATATATATTCTAAAAGTTTGATATGAATTACTTTTTATTAATATATTTTATTTATTATGTCTTACAAAATATTGAGAACCGCCAAACCAGGTTTAACTTAGGTTTGGAACTTATTATATAAAACCCGGTCCTTAGGTTTTTAGTTTGGAACCCAAATGCTTTAGAAACTAAACTAATTTTACCATCCCTAGTATCTGCCGATGGTAGGATCAAAATGATAGTGTGTGGGCGATGAACATAAAAGATGGTAACATGATTTTCCACCACCAACTCCCTTGCATGGAGATATAGCTGACTTTAATGGTCTCATGACGACGTATGGATTCATTCGACTATTAGGTGAAAGTACTACCGTTCGGTCAATTCGTGATGGCGGTGTAGTGGGTGTAGAACCATGACTCATGTTGAAGTTCAAGTTTTGTTCTACGTTTACGCTAGTTTGTAAATGAGTGATGACGCGTTTATTTTCTTTCTGTTCTAATTCTTTTAAAAGAGTTTTTATTTTTGTCTCTGCTTCTTCTATTGTAACTTGTTGTTTCTAGAACATTCTGTTAA